CGGCTAGGCTTTGAACCTGTCTGCTTGCTGTGAACTTGGCGGTTGATCTGGGCTCTTGGTTGAGCCTGACCATCCTCCTCAGCCCGTCCTGCTCAGGTAGTGTGGGGCAGGTACTGGGCAGCAAGGCTCTTACCCGACCTTGTGTCATCCCCCTGGCTCCCCAGACATCCCCCATGAGCAAGGGGAGCATGCGTTCCTTTAATTTCTGAATATCTCTTCTTGTAAAGCTTACAGGCCGATGGAAACGTGGTGGTGCTGAGGGCAAGGAACAGCTCTGCAGCTGGCCGTCCCCAAAGTCTCAGTGAGATGGGAAGGTGTTAGGGGACCCGGGGCAGGCAAAGAAGCAGGTAGGGAGCAAATCCGGATCGGAGAAAGCTCCAGAGACAAGAAATAAGGATGGTAAAATTGGGACTGAGTTGAATCTGCCGAGAAATCCTCCCCAGGGAGCAGGGCCGGGGTTTGCGGCCAGCTCCAAATCCCCCGGGGTGCTCAGTGCCTGCAGGGTGCGCGGATGCCCGCAGGCAGAGCCGGCGCAGCACTCCAAGTCTCAGAGCACCCCCGTGAGGTCTCGCACGTGGGTGAGCGGCGACGCTTGGCAAGAGTGGGGATCCACAACCGCGTCCCCTTCTCCCCTTGCTGGTCATGTTCCCGCCCCTTGCTCTCCTGCTGTTGTGCTGGAGCTGGATGCACGGGGGTCCCGCTCTCTGCAGGGATCAGCGGCTCAGGGTCCAAGACCCAGAAGGTGCTTGGAGTGGACAGCTGGGCCTTCAGATATGGGGTCATCTGTGGCATGCTTGTTTTCCTGCTTCCCTCTATTTTGCCATCTGTGAAATTGGTGTTTTCTCCGTTTCTGCCAGGTTTCCTTCCCAGCATCCCCACAGAGCGGCCCTGTTCATCTGCCAAGGGTGTTTGGCGACCAGGGCTCGCTGGTGTAAAGAGAGATTTAGCTGCTTCCCTCCCTGCTCTTCCCACCTTCCCAGGGTGGGACGTTGTCCTCGCTGATCCTCCGTGTCCAGTGAAGCGCGACAGTGTGCCGGTGCTCGAGGTCGGACCTCGGGAAGGGAGGATGATTTAGCTGTCAAATAAAGCCGGTTTCATGACACTGCACCGACGTGCTCACAAGCACTGAGGCGGGAGGTCCAAGCGGTCTGCAGAGGGCTCCTTGCGACGACACCGAGGACAAGGGACGCGGCCTGCGGTGTCCTCCTCGTGTTGCTTGGAGTCCTCAGGCTGATGTGGGATTTACGTCCCCTTTAGGGAGCTCTTTGTCCCTGTCCTAGCCCACCTGCGAGTCAATCTGGTCCCTTCCCCTGCCCTTTGCCTCCCAACCTCGGCATCGCTGGCGAAAGCAATCAACGTGTCCCCTCGCCCTTCGTGCAAGCCATTAATTAATTACCGCACGGAGCGGCACTGGGTGTGAGGCAGACCACCGCGGGAGCCCAGGCGGGGCGATGGGGACGGTGGCTTCAGACCTGCCTGGGACGGCGGGGAAACTTCCTGCTCTCGGGGTGGGGTGGGGGAAGCAAGGTGGGATTTTTGATATCCCGGCGAGCGGCCCTGCAGCTGCACGGCCGAGCCGAGAGATGGGGAGAACGGCAGCGCGGCAGCTCCTCCGGCAGCCCTGGGGGCAGGACTGGTGGCGACCCAGAGGGAGGAATAACTCCTCCTGTATCGCCAGCGCAGCCTGCTGCGGCCCCTGGGGTTTCTTAGATGGTTTTCTCATTAAAGTACCAACTTCCCCGGCCTCGCTCGCAGGTGGTGGTGAACAGCCCCGCGCCCTGGCAGGCCCGGTGGCTCCTGTCTGTTTGGCGGGGGGGCACACCACAAAGCGCCCCCGGGCACG